CATCATATTTTACTGATTAGCTTAGTATAATGCTATCGACTTATTTAAAAGACTGAAAAAAATTTAAAAAGCAATAAAAAAGAAGCGATGTTAACTGAGACGAACTTTATAGCCTGGGTTATATCATAGAGGGTTGATGCCTGTTCCTTCAACAACACCCAGAAGATACGAAATGTCTCCCGTACTTGAGGAATATATTGATGCTGGTGCTACGCTTCCAGCACGTAGAGCTCCTCAAGCCAAAGTTGCTGCTCAACAGCCACCAGCATCTGGCGATGGTACTAATATAGCTGCTGTACGTCAGAACACACCAACTGAAGTTTGAAGTTTCGATCATTTTATAATAATAAAGAAGTTTATAAGGCAAGTTCGAGAATTCAATTCCAATTTGAATAGAATCAAAAGAAGTCCAAAAAATATTGTTTAACAATTAACACTTTTTCTTTTTGTTAACTGTATCTTTTTTGTAAATTTTTAACTATTTTATTTCAATATTATTTTAACACGCTTGTTGCTGACAAATACATTCTAACGATTTTCTTATTTGTTCGTTCATAATCGTATAAAAATGATTATAATTGAAAATTGAAATACCCTTATGAGTAATTGAAAATTTCGAATAAATTTCGAATTTCGAATAAATTTCTAGTTTCAGACTCGTAAAAACTTTATGTTAAACTATAAAATTGTAGTATATTGTTTGAGTTTCCGTTTAGATAATCTGCGATTGCCTTTCATATGTTCAAAATTATCTGATATAAACGGCGAAAGAATCTTATTTCTCTTTTCAATTTTCAATTTAAGTAAGGAGTTCCATATTTATATTTATGAATTTATTGTCATTAAGCAAAAATATAGGTACTGAATTTCTGAATCATTTTTTTGCCATTCTTTATCACTTATCTTTTTTCTGCCAAGTCTATGATAAATTATTCACAGAAATTATATTATATTATATTTGAGTTGTAATATTTTTGTCTATCTATATATATGCATTGAACAGAACCGGCACGAACGTCTAAGCGATTAGGCATTTGTTTGGGGACACTAAGGTTTCCTGGGATGGCATTGCATCCAGGACATATCTCACAATTCTGACGATGACTTTTGACTTTTCTTTCAATTTTCAAAATACGCGTACATTTTATTTTATTGTTTATTTGTTCGTTTTATTATTTTCATTGCAAATGCGAGAATCACAATATAAGCATTTTTTTTCTTGATAGCAAAAAAATTTTCTCGGAAAGGCTGAAAAAAATTGCAAGTTAAGCCCTAAGCAAGAAGGATGAAAATGTTGGCGACAAAATTTAACGCGCCGATCCTGATAATGAACGCGGTTACAAAGGATTTTGTAAGGTTATCCTTCCATTCCGATGGATTTTCCACTTCAGCGGTCTGTTCATTAGCTTCATTTTGTTTTGTTCTTTTTCTTTACTTCTTACTGTGCTCGTTAATTGTTCTTATTTGATCATTTATGTCTTTTGGTGCTTCTTGAATCTGTGTAAAAATGCCAGTTTTGTTAATCCTTTATTAATTTTGTAAAAATAAAAAATATTTCTCGCATGGATACGGTATGCCTGTCAGGAAGAAATTTTATGAACAACTTACTGGCAAATCTAAAATTTGGTTTATAATTTTTCCAAAATATTTAAGTGCCAACAAATATACCGTTTTATACTTAAAGATGCCTTTTAAATGCCAGATTGCATTTTCTCTCAGAATTTTTTGGGAAGGTGGAAATATGAGGGTTTATGAAAATCTCAATTCTTTATTTGCAAAGTAGAAATAGAAGAAATAAGGGAAATTTTTAAAAACCCGTATTTTATGGACATTAATTGCTAAATTTTGAGGATATATTAGAATGATAATTTAGTGCACATTTGCATATTTTTAATATTATAGTGTTTGCTGTTCGATACAAATTTTATGGCATTATTGAATTAAACGCGGAAAATATACTTTTGCATATTGCAAACGATTACTGAAAATAATCGCCTATAATTAATTTCATAAAATTATTTTATAAATTTTATTATTAGTTTGTGCTAAAAATAGCATTTATCATTTAATCTTCAATAGATTTCATTGATTAAACAAAGCTGTATTTTGTCTTTTCGTCCATAATTTTATAATATTTTATTGCTCCAAAATTTTTGCCGATATTATAAAACAAAAAACCAGAATTTCTATTCATATGATTTTTGTTTAAAAATTTTCGAACAATCTTGCGATTCGGATGCAAAAAATATTAATTTTTTATATTTTTGCTGGTTTTTTATTTTTCACTTGTTTATTTGTTTAATTCAACGTAATCGTCGGCATTGGTTAATAATATTTCATTTTTCATTAAATCAAAAACGCGATAATAAAGCGATGAGTTTTCTTTATTAAGTGAGAATTTTTTATGAAAACCAAGTTAGGAATTAAGATTTAGGGATGATTTCGTCGATTGCTGCATTGATTTCTTGTAATATTTTTTCCATTTCAGCGTTATCGTCCTTCCAAAACTGCAAATTATCAATAATCATTAAAATTTATCATTTTGAATACATTTAAAGAATTATAATGAGCCAAGTGATTTTGGAAAACATATTCATGAAAATACATGAAATTTATGCAAAAAAATTCGAAAGCATTGAAATTTTGCAGATATTTTACTTGTTGAACATGGTGCAATTTCTTCGCTAACTCCTTTGAAGAATATCTTAAAAAATATCTTATATTTTAAACGAAGCGGTGCAATAAGAGCAACAATATTTGATACCGAAAAAAAACTCGCTTACCTTCTTAATTCTTATTACTTTAAGTTTTTCTTGATCATCTAAGTCTTTGAGCATTGGCAGAGTATTCATTTTGAAATTGTTGAGACGTTTTGTGAGTATATCAGCCTTATAATCTGAAGATCAGCCTTATAATTTCGGAACTAATCACATTGATTGATCACATTCGTTTTTTTCGTTCGAAATGTTCGAAAAGCATACCAGGTCTGAGATTCTCCAAAATGCCATCATTCTTCAGCTGTTTCATTATGCTGTCATAACAATATTGTTCTGTGCAGTCGATAAGTATAGCACGATCAATTCGTTCGAACTAAAATCAATGAGGCTAATGGAAGAATTTTTTAATGGATAAGTTCTTTTAATAGCTATCACCATTACTGATTAGGCTGGTGCACTGGCTGCAAAAGCAAGACGTTCGATGCTGTTCGATCGGATGTCACCTCTGACAATAAAAGAAACCATTTTTTTCATCTTTTTTCCATCGTTTTTTCATCAACATTTATTGCTGGGCCATCTATACGTTCAATTTTTTCTGTCTTTCCTATATCGGTCCAAGTCTTGGTTGCTCCACCTCGCTTTTGACGCCACTCATCAAAGGCAAGTAACGAAATCTGCTAATTCCTGTGGTGGATGACGAAGAACCAACCAGCAAAGACGGTAACAAACACTTTGTAATGCTATTGTTAGTGCAGGCGGTATTTGAGCGAAGATGGATGTAACCATGTAAGGCTTTATGCGCTCGGCGGACCAGTAAAATGAATTTTAGACATGAGTGGAAGCTAATTTCTTAATATCCTCCAATCTTATCGGCCATGTCGCATATAGTAAGATCATATAGTAAGATCGAAAAAATGCAGCTATATGGACTCGAACATTTGTTTTTATGGTGATTTCGCGACAGTTTCATAAATGTTTCGTCAATCGCAAGAATGAATTTCGAGAATGAATACTGTTGTCCGAGTTGTAATTTCGTCTTTTGCCTAGCGCTAGCCGTCTGGGATTAAAATAATCTAAGATATTTAAAGTATTTAAAGTCTGGCATTCCCTCAGCCAGGGATGAGTTGATAAAAAGATGAAAAGGTTAAAGG